GTATGATGTAGGTATAGCAATATATATTGGGTATTATTTGTTGATCTCTATTTAGAAGTGCAATTACATATAAAGAATATTTAGCTGAATTTATACTGTATAGAAGAAGAACTCAGAATTTTATTAAAATCAACCAAACATAATATTTGCACATGGTGACTTCAAAACTGAAACACTCATAAATATATGGTCACTTACTTCAATCTTTCATCTTTTATCTTAGTTTCAAATTCACTGTGATCTTTTCGTGTTGGATCAAAATGTAATGAAGCCATGTCTCTGGAATTAATAGGAGAGAAAAACAGCAATATTATTTACTTTCTGCATACACAGTGATCACAAGATGTTCATAACATTCCAATACATACCAGATAGGCTCTACTTATAACACATGGGTTTACGTAAATGACAGACATGTGTCATATTAAATAATCAAGTATACAAATCAAAGATCCACTTCTAATAAAGAAAATACTGTAAAACATGTCTTTTTCGCGAATTTAGCGAGAGAAATGATTCGCTAATTCAAGATGTCGCTAATGACTTTATTATCAATTCAAAATGGCCGCCAAACAAAGAAATCAACAATGACAAGAGAGATTCGTTAAATCAACATTTCGCTATTACGTCATTTTACCACAATTCGCTAAAATTGCATGCCGCTTTTTCATGTTTTACAGTAGTCTATATAAAACAGAAATTAATTGGCTACTCCTATTTTGAAAAATAAATTGATGTTAGATTATAATAGTGTAGGCATAGGACCTAAGTTGTAATATTTCTCTAATACATACAGTAATAGGAAGAGAATAAAAAACTCTGTACATTGTGTGTTGCTTTAATTGAACACCAACAAAAAATGTTCAGTTTAAAAAAAACACCAAGTATCATGTTTGTTCTATTACAAGCACATCTCTGAAAGGAATTTAGTATACTGGATGATTAAAAAATTATTTATCATCGACATAACTCTATCAATAGGGTAAATACAGTACTGTATTTGTTTCATCTGGTTATGTCTTAACAAATCCATTTTTTTATTCCAGAAAACAAAGTCAAAACGAATGCTGCCATAGAGGGCATTGCTCAATGATCTATGGTCATTCCTGACATATTACAATAGGTGATTGGTGTAATAGATAAATTTTAGGTTTACACAGACTTCAATTCATGAGACAGAACTCATTGTCTACTAAGACATAAATATTATGTACAATATACAGAACATGGCTTGTTTTGATAACACTTTCAGGATCACTCACTTGAAGGAGCCTTTTGATTTTGCTGAAAATTTGAGTAGTGCTTTGGTGCCAACAATGTCTTGTAAGATAGAAAGCTGTGAAGCCTTTTCTTTCACCAAGTCATAGTCTTCATTTTCTGTAGCATCGCTGTCTGAATCTTCTTTATTTTTCATTTTTTCAGATTTGTCTTCTATACAGTGGAAAAATATACAATATTGAAATACAATGTAATAAATTTATAGAAAGTATAAAAAAGGAATTTGAGTGACTGATTTTTTAATCTTGAAATTTTAAAACAACATTTTACACATTTTATAGTATTTTTCTATAATTTATTTTTTTAATTTTGCACGGGGAAAAAGAAAACCAAACATGGTCACTATGACAATGGTGGATCCAAACATTGAGTTGCACACATAATGTTTCAACAGTGATTGCCACATGTTTCAACATTGATTGCCACATGTTTCAACAGTGATTGCCACATGACACAAATCTCCACCATATAAAGTTCGCACAAGTTTATTTTCTTCCCACTGCATCTTTATTCATATTTTTGCCTTTGATTTCACCCTTTTTTTATTATGTGAATTTTGTCACCTCCCTTCTAAATTATAAATTGTTGAAATCCATGCAGATACATCAGTCCTATAACAATTGCACTCATTATCACAGGAGTGGCATTTCAATTTCATGAAAAAGTCTACTTTTAGTAAAACATAATAACCTTCCAAGCTAATACCACTAAAATATTCAAAGTATTCACTGGCAATGAACAATTTGCATAATACAACATAATGTTAAGGGATTTCATTTTTCTCTTACCTTCATCACTTTCTTGAAATCTTTCATCAATTTTAAATCTTTCATCCATTCCAAATCTACTCTGTAAACTCATCAACTGTCAAAAGAAATTAAACATCAATAAATATAAACAAAGTTAAAAATATTTAGTAACAAAAGTCTGTATTGAACATTATAATCAAATCAATAGAGTAATTGTTCAAAACTGACATCAAAGTCTTAGTTTTGTTTCAAAAATTAACCTTTTAAAGTCGATGTTCATCACCATTCATGAAAAACAAATTTTCTCATTTGTTTTTACAAATTGCGTCCATTAGGTTCGAAAACAACAAAAACATTAAAGAAAAATTCAGTAAAATGTGCAAAATCTTTTGTCACTGAATTGAATTTTTAACCAAAAAACTTTCCTTTATTACCTTGCCACCTGATTTTCCTTCAAACTGTGGTTTAATTTGAAATCTGTCTTCATCGCTGTCATCATCATCATCATCATCATCATTACTACTGCTATCACTATCAAATAATGTTAAGGCATCTTTCGTCTTTTTGGTTTTCTTCAAGTCTTCTGCATCACCAGCGGAAACTGCATCTGTGTCCTAATAAAATAATACATGACTAATTTTCCTATTGACTCCAAATTATAGAATGGTAATCCAGATATAGCGATATAAAATAAATCAAAATAGCTATATTGATCTTATTTTGAATCAAGATTGAATTTATTAACACTAATTATCAATATAGCAGTTGCCATGGTTATACTTGCTATTGCATTTAATCAGAATAAATCTTGAAAACGGGATATCAAATCAGAAATAAATTAGTCTAGTAAATGTACAACGAACCTTCAGATCAATGGTACCAGTACTTTCTGATTCTGATTCTGATTCTGGTTGTGGTTGTGGTTGTGGTTGTGGTTCAGATTCAGATTCAGATTCTTCATCTGAATCAAACACAATATACTGTCCCATTTTCTTGTTGGAATCCTAAAAAAGATATTGCTTATATTAGAAGAACATACAATTATTTCTTCCACTGTCTTGTGGTAAGGCAGAATAAATTGTATCAAATACCACTCGTTAGGGGTTGACAAACAAGATGAAATAGATTCAACTTACGACAGAAGCCAAGGCATCCTGAATGGCAGACTTCTGTTTCTGAGTGCTTCGTTGCTTTTCACGAATTGATTCCAGTCTCTTTTCATTATCATTTTTATGTTTAATTTTTAATTTAGCTTCCATCTTTCTTACTGCTGCAGGTTTTCTAACTTTCTTGGCTTTATTTACTTTAGTTGATTGTTTGACTTCAGATTTGTGAGCTGACTTCTCACAATCCAATATACTCATATTTTCTTCAGTTTCCTTCACTTGATTTCTTGATTCACAATTTTTCAATGAGTCTTTCATTATTGATGTTTTTACACTGTTGTCATTCTGTTGTTCACAATCAGAATCTAAATGTTCAAAGATTTTACTTTTTCTTTCCTTTGTAAGTTTTTTTGACTTAATCTCGACAGCATTCGCAGCTACACTCGCTGATTTCTCATCTGAAATCATATTTATCCTTGTCAGATTTCACCTTAACTTGTTGTTCACATACTGTAGGTGTTTCCATGGAAACTCCCATCTTTTTCTTCTTTTTTGTTTCAGACTTTTTCCCTTCATGATTTCCAATAACTTTCACTGGTGTATTCTGAAATGATTGATCAGTTGCCACGGAATCAATTTGTTTCTTTTTTGGCTTTTTCTTTGACGTGCTCATGACTTCATCCATATTAAACAGGACCATTCTCGGTGTGTCAGCCACAGTGCATATATCATCAGTGTCAGCAGAGCCAGTAGAATCGTCTCCAGAATCAATAAGAAATCCTTGTTTCTTGATATCACCTTCAGTGGATGTTCTAGTCCTTGTCTTATCAGTTTTTATCTCACTACCTTCAGTACTTCCGAAAAACAATCTATACCGGTACTTTGGAGTGTATTTCTCACTCACAACTTCCAGAGCAACATCCTCAGAAGTTTTTTTCTTTTCATTTGATTTTAAAGATGACATCACTTCCAGTCTTTGTTTTAATGACTTATCAACATCTAATCTGTCGAACAAATCATCATCTTCATCAACAAAATCATCAGAATCATAAAAATCCATTATTGATGGCTTTTGTTTTGGTAATTCCACATCAGCAGCCCAACCAGGGGTGGTGGTTAATCCCTTCAAAGTTAGTGGTAGTTTTGATATGTTCTGTTCAGTTTTATCTAATATTTTTGTATGATCGACTAAACTGTCACATGTTCCACTATCAGTATTTCTCCCGTGCTCATTGTTATTCAAAATTGTTGATGTATCACATTTTGCTCTGCTGGAGTCCAAAGTCTTTGCTGTCTTTTCGCTCTTCAGTTTATTTCCATCAATCTTTTCACTTTTCCGCTTTTTTGAACGTTTTTTTGTCTCAGTATCAACTTTTCTAGTTGATGTTTTGTTGTTCTCATCCACAATGTCCATTTTTGAGTTCACTTTAATTTGTTCTTCGCATGTTGTAGGTGTTGGCATGGATGCCAGAATCTTTTTATTCTTCTTTGTTTCAGATTTCTTCTCTTCATTGTCCATAAATGGTTTCACTGGAGTTTTCTTAACAGTTGACATAGAATCCAATTTTGTCTTCTTTTTCTTTTTTTCTGATGTGCTCATGACATCAACCAGAAATGATTTTTTTGTCACTGTACATATATCATCAGTGTCTGCGGAACCAGAAGAGTCGTTTCCAGAATCATCACATGATCCTAATGTCTTGATATCAACCTTTTTAGATACCTTAGTCCTCAATTTGTCAGATTTCATAGTTCCAGGGCCCTGTTTATTTTCATAAATTAAGTATGATTTAGGAGTAAATGTCTCGCTAACAACTTCCATTACACCGTCCTCATCTTCTAACGCTGAAGATCGCATCTTTTTCATGTGATTTTGAGGACATCACTTCTAGTTTTTGTTTTAGTGTTTTATCAGCATCTAATCTGTCAAAGAAATCTTCGTCTCCATCAATGAAATGATCAGAATCATAAATATCGTTCACTGAAGTTCTCTTTGGAGACAAATCCTTGTATTTTGCGGCGCTTTCTGAAGTCTTCATTTTTTGCCTTATGTTTGTAAAAACAATTTCCTCATCACTGCTATCTTCTTGCACAATATACAAATTGTCAACGTCTTTGGAAATTTTATTATTATTGCCATGGTTACTTGAATGATTACCCTTTTTTACCTCACTCTCATCTCTAGCATCCTTACTAGTGGAAATTTCATTAGCACGATTTTCTAAAGAACCATCTTGGCTTTTGCTCCGTCTTCCTTTCTTTATTTCACGTTCCTCAAACTCCCCTTTCCTCTTTTTATAATTTTCGTCCTGTCTTTCTTGTAACTCCCATGTCAATTCATTGTCATTTTCATCATTATCAGCACCATCTTGGAACCGTTTGAGACCATGCGTGTGTTTGGAAGGATCATACTTCATTATTTTTTTCTTATCTTTTCTTCTCACATGTACGATAGGAAGAACACGGCCAAATTTTCCGACAACCCAATTCTGCAATAAAAAAACACCAGTGATGATCAAACAGAAGCAAGGCATTAAAATACAGTAAACTCATTTGACTTCATCAGAATCAAATTTTCATGAATTTCACTGAAGTTCTTCAGACAAGAAGTCATAGTGACTTTCTTGAAATTATTATTTGACCAAGTGTAAACAATTTTTCATACGCTATAAATTTTAAAAACAATTTTTGGTTAAATTTAGAAAAAATATGCAGGTTTTTTTTGTGTGAAAGATAATAGAAGATGATTACGACATTCAAATGTCAGCTTTGTTGAATTGATAAAATGAAAATAACAGTAGTTCATAGTTACAATTTTCTTAACTTAGTAAGAATAGACTAATACAAATACACTCATGATACACTAAGTTGAAGTTGGAGCAAAAGACTATAGATGAGAACATGTGCATATGGTATATACAACATTATTATACATCTGTCACCGTAAATTACATCGTGCCATAATTTTGCGGTATTTTACAGGGTATTTTCATCCTACCATATTAGGAAATGCGAATTCCAAATATGGAATGATTACACGCATAAGCGTCCTCTAAAGAAAAACAAACATAGCTGCCACAAGGGTTTGACCGGACTCCATACTCCATAATTTCGCTGATTCTGTTTCTGATTTCGGCATTCCC